GAGAGAGAGAGAGAGAGAGAGACATTGTTGTGAGAGAGATACATTGATTGGTTGCCTCCTGCAAATGCCCCAACTGAGGCCAGGATCGAACAGCAACGCAGGTTGCTTGACCATGAATGAAACCTGAGACCCTTCAGTGCAAGGGCAAGGCTCTAGCCACTGAGAACACTGGCCAGAGCTAGCATATTCACTTTATTCTCATTTTATTTTATTGTTTTTAATAGGTGAGGAAACAGGCTCGGGGGTGGGGGGGGAATTGTTCTATATTGCTGCATAACAAATGTCTACAAACTTAGTGCCTTAGAACAACACACATTTATTGCCTGAAAGTTCCCATGGGAGGAATTTGGGCACAACTAGGTTAGGTCATCTAGTCAGGGTCTCACAAGGCTTCAGTCAAGGTGTCAGATGGGCTACATTCTTATCTGGATGCTCGACGGGGGAAGAGTCCACTTGCCAACAAGTCTTTCAGATTGTTAGCAAAATTCATTTCTTTAGGGCCTGCCTTCTTCCTGGCTATCAGCTGAAGGCCCTTTATTTCCTCAAGGCTGCCTGTAGTTGCCAGCCATGTGGCCTTTTGCATAAGCAGTTCATAGGGATATTTTTTCACAGCCAGAAGGAGACTATCCCACTGCACATTCACTTTAGACCATCGGCTCTATTACAAACATGGCCTTTCATTCTCTGAGAAACCCCTTGTAGCTGGGCTGGAGGGACATGATGGTGTAATGGTCACAATATTGGGTTTTGACCAGGGCTGCATAGATGACCTGCCATTAGCGGGTTTTATCATCCATTGCTATTAATTTGGGGGATATCAAATTAGACTCAGGAAAGCCCCATTAACATTTTGAAATTCATGTATAACTTTGATAAAATAAAACTAATATTAAAAGATAACATTTTTAAAAAGTAAACCGTGAAGAATGATTACAGATTTTGGGTAGAGATTTTCATTGCGGCACAACTACGAAACTGACCCTAGAGCATCTTTCCCTTTTGCTTTTATTAAAAGTGCAATTTCACAGAAAAGCCTGTACTATTGCAGCTCGTTTCCAGGGAGGCTCTGTGGAGATTGTCGTTAACCAGTGTGGTCAGGCGAACCAGCAACTTCCCTGATTAGTTTCTCCTGCTGTGCAGTATAGACAAAACCTCAATCACAGGATATTCCAGAGAGCACGAGTGTCCATACTCCAACTGTGCTACCTACAGAACTGTCAAGTGTCTATAAATATTTTTCAGTTTCTTAGAAAAAAATGTTAGCCTTGTGAAATCCAGCAGGATGAGCTAGCCCTGCCTCTTGGTGGATTTGGTTTGCTTGCTTGTTCTCAGTCAATTCATCTCTCTGATTCATCCCACATCTGAATCTCTTTCCTATCTCTTCGTGTGATTTATGCTTATGTTGAAGAGTATTTTTCTCCTGACATATTATCTTCCTCCTAGAGTGTGCAGAAAATCATTGATTATCCTTGATTGATTCATTCATGACCTTAGTTGGGACTAAAAAAAAAAAAATCAAACAAGCCTCTGAATAGAAGTATATGATGGGAAATGGGGGAGGGACCTCATCTGTTACACCTCACAATTTTCAGTTGGTGTTCTTCACTCTATATTCTTTCTTCCACCTCCAGCCTTCATTGCTAAAGTGGAAAAGAAGCATGGTCAGCCCTAACCGGTTTGGCTCAGTGGATAGAGTGTTGGCCTGCGGACTCAAGGGTCCCAGATTTGCTTCCGGCCAAGGGCATGTACCTTGATTGCGGGGCACATACCCAGTAGGGAGTGTGCAGGAGGCTGCTGATTGATGTTTCTCTCTCATTGATGTTTCTAATTCTCTATCCCTCTCCATTGCTCTCTGTAAAAAATCAATAAAATATGGTTTTTTAAAAAAGAAGAAGCATGGTCAGTATTACATTAATTCCAAGTTCTTTCTGATCATCTTGCCATTTTAACATGTCTTGTCCCATTTTCCTTTCTCAGATGGTGCATCTTCTGAGAAAAATTACTAGCAACTTTAGAACCTTAAAATGTGCATCCGCCCAACAAAGCTATCTGTAAATACATTGTTTGTTTTGAACAAACCTTCTGTTCCGGTTCTATTTGATTAACAAGGATAATAAAAAATCTAAATAAAAATCATTGTCTGTTACCACTGGACAGTATCCAAGTAGTCGCAGACAGCTTGGAAGGCTGGCAAAAGGCAAGATACACAGTGCTGGGGGACATCCAGACCAGCATGGAGGGACCTGTATGCCATCTGCCCCCACCTCTTATTTTAGGATCCCAGTCCAATCGTTTGATCTCATTAGAGAAATATTTGTACAAAGCCAGGAGATGGGATTCAGCTGCTGGTCTCAATTTCCAAAACTGCAGAAAGCCTCACACTGAGGAGGCCAGCTTCCAGAAACACCTTGAATGACCTCCTGTGTCTCTCAGGTACAGAGATGCCTCTCAATACTGCATATTCCCTCAAGGGTTAAGTACTCTTCCTCTGTGTTTGGCTTTCCCACACAATGAGAGAAGTTGAAGCCTTTCAAGTTAGAATGTGCATGTTCCCCATGCAGAGTGCTGGAAGATATTATGCGCTAATTATTTGTTGCTTTAGAGCAAAGCAGGCCCAATGAGAAGCTGGCCCTTTTATGATATTTGTAGAGTTGCATTTCCCAAGAAGCAAAGTTCAGCAGAAAAAAAAAAAAAAAGATCTGAAGCCCTTCACAAAATAAGAAACATTTCTGACACCCTATTTAATGACAACATTCAACTGTTTCTTTTCCATCTTTATTTCCCCTCCAAGGTGCAGCTTATTGGATCATTATGTGCCTGGAACATGAAGGATGACAAGGGGGTAGAATTCTGGCTCAGCAGTTTCAGAACCCAACCCCCACTTGCTCAGCTCTCCTCCCTCCCACCTCCTCTCCTGCTTTTCTCTCCTCTCCGCACCCCCAGCTCTCCCGCCTCCTGCTGCAGATCTCTTTCTGCTGCCTGGCAACCGCTCCACAGGCGATGTCACACAGGATTGCTTATTATCGCTTCAGAGAAATAAACAGGAGGGAAAAAAATTCTTGCTGTGACATTAGAACTGTTATGTACAAATGTACCAAAGCCAGATAATCCCGGGAGTGATATTATAGTAGAATTTTGCACCATGGTGCCTAGGTCCTCCCTTCTACATGGGGTAGAGAGAGAAGGGTGAGGGGTAAAAGAAAAAGGGAATTTTTAGATGGCTTTTCGCTAGCAATGTATTAAATATATCCTTTCTGTTGGCGTAGGTCTCAAATATAAATGTTTCAGCGCTGTAAGGATTTCAGCAAGACATTTTACAGTTGTCATTTAAAAAGTGCAACATGCATATGCAGAAAACAGTTCTATTGCTCATCATTATAATCTTAACTCTTATAATGATTGTGTGCATGGTTTTAACAAGACTTAAGGATTTCTCATCCAGTATCTGGGAAGCCAGTTGGGACCTATATTTTCTTCAATATAGTTTATTTTCTAATATGAGGGTCTTTTGTTCTTTCCACCATTCACTTACTTATTGTTTCCAGTAACTGACATTGAGTGAGCACATTCTTTGTATCCCAGACAGATACAATGGTGAGCAAAAGTAAACTGGTGGCCCTCCCAGGGATCACACTATTACCCAGAAGACGGGCAATTAAACAAATCACTCCAAATAACAAACAAACAAACAACAACAACAACAACAACAAAACACCTTAGCAAATGGATGAAGGGGAAGAGAGGATGTAAAATGGAAAGGTCTGTTCCATTTCCCACTTGGGATTCTCTGGCTCTCCGGGGCAGAAGTAGTTCTATATCAGGATTTCCTCCTGTGTCCTATCTCTTTAGCCAGGCAGTGGAAGGAAGCAGGTTTCTCCTAACTCAGCTTCCTGAGCATGATCTCCAAATAGCATAAGCACTGTTTGAAGTGTATCTTACCCAGAAATCTGAACTCACCTTTAACTTGATTGTTCACTCCTTTCATGTGCAGGGTCCCTCTCCTTGAGACTGGCCTATTTGCTGGGACAAGTTAACTATACATCATAATTAAGAAGCCATCCTTCCCTAACTCCTCTTGCCTACAGATGAGTCTCAAAGGCCTGGGTATTCGAGAATATAGGGAACCCTAGGCATAGTGGGACCCTGGTAGAGTGGGATAGGGTGTGTCCAGTTTCTAGAAGGGCTAATTATTGTCAACCAGTAGACGTCCAAGATACAGGTACGGAAAGTCAGCACACAATCATTGGTATGATTCTGGAACCAGTGACCATGCCAAGAAAGCTACTATCAAGAATTAGGCAAAAGGGTCAGGCACCTGACACTCAGCAGCTCTGGATTAGGATCAGTTTTCTGAGAGTGGGAGTGGGATATAGAAGGAAGAAGCAGTCAGATACCCCGGCAGGCAGAATGGTCTAACATGATTGGGGTAGATGGGAGGTCCTCAGCCTGGCCCATATCACCATTCAGACCAGAATATTTGCCTCCAGGACCAAGGGGTACAGTCTCAGCACATCTGGCTATGTAACTCCTCCTCACTCCTAGATGGGACTCCTTCTGGGGTGGGCATGGCTGCTAGTACCCCTAGCTTATAGTGTAGGGCACACTGGGAAGACAGTAGAGAGGAAAGCAAGGCTGGACTGCTAGCACTGAGGCCAGGCAGCCCGTCCAAGACACAGGCTTTGATCAGACAGACCTAGCAAGGAATCCCAATTCTGCTATTTAATGGTTATATGACATTGGGAAAAAATCATTCAAGGTCCCCAAGCTTCAGTTTTGTTATCAGTAAACTTTCAATGAATGTAAGTGTGGTAACTCTTTGATTAAAACGACTATTACAATTCAAATGACCTAAACCAGGTACTCATGGAAACATTTTGCCATAATACAAAAGCAAAACAAACAGCAATTAAATTGTTCCAAATTTATGGAATTGAAAAATTGTGCTATTAATAACATTAAGATAGCATACTTTTAAGAATTGAAATTGCAAAATATATGTCAAACCCAAAAAATATTTCTCCTCTATCCCCTGCCTAACTCCCAGTTTGCCTACCACATCACAATCTGTGTACATACTGCAAATGTCCATGACCTTGTTTTATTGGCTTAGTCAACTCTCACTCTGTGTGACTTGGAAATTAAAGGGTGAGGGAATGGCTTGCTGATCAAAACCCTAACCATAACCAAGGTCTCTACTATGTAATGTTTTAGCACATTTCTCATGCACTAACTGGAAGGTGCAAAACCCTGTATGTTTCCAATGTTACCACCTGGGCAAGTTTTACCTGCTCTTGTACTTTTAAGTGAGGCTGACCCAGGCAGTTTCTGAAGGCCTCCAGTTTCATTTATGAAAATCTCTTCTTCCATCCTGAGATTCTCTTGTTGGCCTCTCATTGTCTTCCTGGTCTTCCGGTTTATTTGGCTGTGCATCTGCTTTCTTGCCTTCACTTTCTATTTGGTGCTTACAACAGAACGTCAAGGATGTTTCACTGTGAACTGATCCATCCCTTGGGCTTCCTCATGGTTGACAGGTATCTCACATGACTGAGCTGTGGTCTTCAGGAGTCCAGCATTGAGCACCTAAGTGACAAAACCCCGTTCTCTGTGAAAGAGAAATCAGACAGGTATATAACTATTTTTCTCAGAGTTATAAGATAAATGACAAAACTCATAACCCAGTATTTCTCACAGCAGTTCAAGGAGCAGCTGCATCAAGGTCACCTGGGGCTTATTAACAAACCAAGATGTAGAACTGAATACCAGATTCACCAGCTAGCTCCCTTAGGTGACTGTTACACACATTGAAGTTTAAAGCCCAGTGCCATAATCTCTTAAGGATTTGGACACATACACACACAAAAATCCCTTTCGGGTGAGTAAGTGACTATATAAATCCAATTTTTCAGCAATGCTTTTTTTTTAAATCACATCTACCCAGACTTTAAAAAAGGGTTTCTCTGTGAGTATAGTATAGATATATCCCTTTTTTGGTTAGTGGACGACTGATATAAAAACAAACAAACAATAATGTGATTCATCAAAAAGCAACAAAACAAGTCTCATAATGGATTAAATTATCCTATTTATCCAGGACTCCTGCTAATTACTCATTGATTCAACAAACATCAATTGACTAATTGACATATATGTCAGGCACGGTTCCAGGATGGAGACACAGGAAATCTGTCTGAACAAAATAGGCAAAGTTACTGTCCTCACTGAGCTTCCATTCTGGTGGAGGAGGCAGGCAATGGATACGTCAATATATATTTCCAGGCAGTAATAACACCACAGAGAAAAGGATAGTGGCATGTGGAGTTTGGGATTAAGGTGGGACGAGGTGGAGAGGCAGTTTTAAAGGGGGAAGGAGCAGGGAAATCTTCTCTGAGATGACATGTCCATATGGCCTGGGTGATCAAAGTAAAGAGTGTTCCAGGCAGAGGAAATAGCAGGTGCAAGGCCATGGGGCAGAACTGGCCTGTGTGTTAGAAGAAAGCCAGAGGGGCTGCAGCTGAGTGAGTGTGGGGATGTGGCCAGAGTTATGGGACAGAGACCATGCAGAGTTTTGCTGGCTATGGTTAGGAGTTATATTTTTCTTGACTCTTAATGGGAAGCTATTACAGAGTTTGGACCAGGAAGTTATATCATCTTACCTACATTTATTTTTTTAATCACTCTGTTGTGTAAAGTATAGACTGTGGAGGGGAGAGACTGGAAGCTAGAAAGCAGCCTGGAGGTTATGTCAGCTGCCAGTGGGAGAGATGGTGGTAGCTTAGGTGAGGGGCATGTCAGTGGACACAGAGGGAACAACTTCAGGATATATTTTGAAGGAAGAGATGGCAGGATTTGTATTGTGCATGGAAAATGCAGGGGGGAAAAAAAGAGGAATCAAGACTTCTCATCTGATATTGGCTTGACCAGTTGCAGTACATTTTATTAAAATGGGAAGTCCATAAAGAGTCCACTTTTGGAGAAAATATCAAGAGTTCCCATTTTATCATAATAAATGTATAAAATGTTACAGATACTAAGTCAAATTTTGGGTAACAAATGAGCAAACAAGACAAACAAACACGCAAAAACTCATAGACACAGACAACAGTATGGTGGTTACCAGAGTGGGTCGGTAGTTAAGGGTAAAGGAGGTCAGATATATGTTGACAGAAGGAGATTTGACTTTGGGTGGTAAACACACAATATAATATACAGATGGTGTATTATAGAGGTGTATACTTGAAGCCTATATAATTTTATTAACCAATGTCACTGCAACGAATTTAATTTATTTAAATATAGTTTTTTTTTATTGATTTCAGAGAGGAAGAGAGAGGGAGAGAGAGAGATAGAAACATCAATGATGAGAGAGAATCATTGTTTGGCTGCCTCCTGCACACCCCCTACTGGGGAATGAGCCTGCAACCCGGGAGTGTGCCCTTGACTGGAATCGAACTCTGGACCCTACAGGCCGCAGGCTGACACTCTATCCACTGAGCCAAACCAGCTAGGGCATAAATTTAATTTAAAAAAAATTAAAAAGAAGTTGGGTGTAATAATCTACAGATCAGAGCTCCAAACTGGAGATACGAACATGAGCATCAGCAGTGTTGTGATATGTAATGCCCTAGGAATGAGGAGCTCTCCCAAAGTGGGATGTCCCTAGAGAAGAGAAACTGGAGAATTGAACATTAAACCACTCTGACATTTAAGGACAGTCAGAGAGGGAGGAGCCACTGAAGAAAGCTGGAAAGGAAAAGCCAATGAGATAGGAAGACAATGCATGTGGCAAATTGCAAACCAAGTGAATGTTTGGGACATGGGACTTACACCACAGTGTGTAGTGACAGAGATGGCTGCTTGGTAGCTTGAAAGGGGGCTCAGTGCCAGGTTGTGGGATGGGAATAACTTGTATTTGTTTTGTATTGTAATAAACGAAAGACATGTGAAATGTACATGTGAACTCTCCCATAGGACCTCCAAGATGGAGAAAGCAGCTATTGAAACACCTTGATGAACACTGACATAAATTCTGTTTGCCCTAAGGAACTGAGACATGCTCAAAAGTTGGAAGATTTCTTCCTTTTTTATTTTTTTTAACTTCTATTAGCAGCAAAAAAGTATTATCAAATAGCTTACTGAAAAGGGCAAATAAAATATGCTGATTAGACCTGCTTGAACTCTTTGGCATTTGGGAGAGAAAAGGTTAAGGTTTAATAAGTGGTAACTGAGAACTAATATTCTTAGATTTCCAGTAGGTAACAGTAATTTAAGCCACACACACACACACAAAAAAAGAGAAGGTGGCTCAGCAAAAGGCATATTTCAAGTTGTGGTGAATTGTGTTTTTTAATGTGCTTTCTAGCTCAGAGACTTTACAGAAGTAATGACACCTGCCTAGACAGAAAAGAACATTGCCACCCCTGCTTAATATTTACGTAGTGCCCAGAATGAGGAGTATTTAGGGCACTTACAGATTAGGTGACATAGAAAGCTGTGGGACTGATTCCACATTTCATTTGTGGTCCAAACTTGCATGATTTCTTCTCCAGGGGTTTAGCTTATAAGACATCTAGAAATACATGTCTCATATACAGGGTTTTCATATCCATAACATTAAGTCTTCCTCACACATAGTATTGATCACTTTTATGATTCATTTTGACTTTTAGTGGTCATTCAATTTAGATCATTTGTATGTTTTTAAAAAATGTGCTAGCAGATTTGCAGCTAACCCCACAAAAGAGGCCCACTGCTGACCAGATGCTGTTCTGGAGCTATATATTTTTTAATTCACCCAATTCATTTCTTAGGAAGGCTTTTCTTGGTGAGGGTATGGCTCTATTTATTTTAAGTTAGTGGACCACTGATTTGCAAAACCAATAATAAAAATTCACTTTATGGGAAATGAAGCCATGAAAATAAGGGATTGTCTACACTGGCAGGTCGAACTCTGCAGCTGTGATGGAATTAGGCATTTGTAGAGTCGATGCCTTCTCTTTTCTGATTTATCCTCTTGACAATTCAGGATCAGGGATATGCTGTGTTAGAGTACTCCAAAGCTAAAGGAAAGGTATGGTTGTCTCCACTAGTGGAAGGGAACAGAAGAGCAGGCAATCCAAATAGTGACCAACTCCCTGAATCAGGCCTAGTTGGCTTTAGGATGTGTTTTGTACTTAAGTTTGGATTTGGGTGTGTCTGATTTTCTGGAAATTTACTTCAAAGAGAAGAATGCAATGACACAGTGAAATCTTGGCTCTCTGCATTGGGAAAGTCTCCAGTTTTCCTATCCTGACCCTGTCCATTCAGGAAACAGACATGACCTTGCTCAAAACTCTCTTTGAACAACAACAACAAAAAAACCCCACACGTTGCACTGATCCTTTATATTTCCAAAGGATTTCTCACAGAGAATGGGTTCCCTTAAGGCCACAGCAGTAATTAAGCAGAGTGTTTGGCAGTGTTTCTAATGACTGAACAGACACACAGCTACCCACCTGTCTGCTGGATGGGGTTAAAGAGAAAGTGCAAGAGGGCAGATGAGCTCCCTCCTCCCCACCCCCACCCCGCACCTCTCATGCAGCAAGTATTGTCTTGCAGAGCACTATCCCATAGGTGATAAGCCTTTAAACTCAGGTTTATATCTTGATTGTATCTCGGAAATCTTTAGAAAAATATTTAATTTGTCCAGTCTTTTCATCTATAAAATGGTACCATATGGGCTTGTTGTAAAGATTAAATGAGCTAATACTCAGTGCTTGGTCCACACAGGGGCATAATTAAATTATCAAAAATCACATTAGCTATTTTTAGAGTCTGTAGACTATATTTAAAAGTGCCTCTCACACAGAAAAATCACACTGTTGTAGAAATAATTCAGTTGCAATTGTGCTTAGTAAAATGCAATGTCAACTAAAAACATTACTAAATTCATGTATTCAGCAAGGAAATTCTAATAACTACCATGTACCAGGTATTCTTAGTCACTCATTCATTTATTTTTGCCATTATGTATTTTTTCAAACAATTGGAATGAAAAACTGCCATCGTATGAAAGCCCATGCAATTTATGACACTATAAGTTGTCTTGAATAACAACTATATAAAATGAAAAAAACAATTGGCTCCTAAGTGGGGTTGGGGAAAGAGAACTATAAAATTCAATTTTTATACAAATGGGGACATTTGAATATGACTTGAATAAGAGAAGCTATCAGGTAATTATTGTTACATTTTTAAATTGTGATAAAGGTATTAAAGTTACATTGGGCAATGTCCTTATTCTTAGAAGATGCTGAAATATTTAAGAGAAAAAATGCCATGCTGTCTGCGAATTACTTTCAAATGGTTCCTAAAAATAAAAAGAATATGAAGAAATATGAACAGTTTTTAATTTACACTGCAGGTGAGGGGCATAAAACTGACTATTGTTCTATTCTTTTAACAATGTTTATCCAGATTTTCTTAATAACATTGTTGAGGGAAAACAGATAAAAACATTGCTTATATACATTTAATAAAAAAAAATAAGTTCTATATGAGCGGGGAATAATCTATTTCTGGTTACTCAGCTGAGAGAAGAAAACTGAGGCCTGACGGGTACGTGAT